CTCCAGGAACCTGGCAGCCGGCAGGGGCTGCAAATGGGAGACCCACAGGAGAAGCCCTCAAGGACCAGGTCAACTCCAGGGCAGCCACAGAGCCCCAGGGGCCATGCCCAGAAGCCCTTAACATGTCAGTCCACTTGTGGAGACTGTTTCACAGACACAGACAACAAAAATCTCTAAACAGAAGAGGAAAATCTATTTTTTTTTTTTTTTTGGTACTGGGGGATTGTACTCAGGGGCACTTGACTACTGAGCCACATCCCCAGCCCTATTTTGTATTATATTTAGAGACAGGGTCTCACTGAGTTGCTTAGTGCCTCGCCGTTGCTGAGGCTGGCTTTGAACTCACAGTTCTCCTGCCTCAGCCTCCAGAGCTGCTGGGCAGGAAAGTCTTTAAAATGCAAAACAGACACCAAAAATCCCAACAGTAGCTCAGTGGTAGCACGCTTCCTAGCATGTGTGAGGCACTGAGTTCCTTCTCAGCACCACATACAAATAAATGAAAAATAAAGGTACATCAACAACCAAAAAAAATTAAAAAAAAATAAAAAAGAAAAGCCTAGGTTCTGTTCCCAGCGAAAAGAAAAGAAAGCCAGCCAGCAGGTAAAAGCAACTTGGACAAAACAAGAAACAATGCGAGGAGAAGAGGATCTTTATGAACACCAATAATCTCAGAAAGATAAGACACTGAACGCGAACCATGAGAACACCATAGTATATAAACAGATCTCTCAAGAAAAAAGGGGAAGGGTTGGGGTTGTGACTCAGTGGTACAGCACTCTAGAAGCCCTGGGTTCAATCCTCAGCACCACAAAAGATGAATAAATAAAGGTATTGCGTCTATCTACAGATAAAGATTATTAAAAAAAAAAAAAAGTGCCAGGCACTCTGCTGGCTGAGGCAGGAGCATCGAGCGTTCACAGCCAGCCTCAGCAAAATTGAGGTGTAAGCAACCCAGTGAGACCCTGTCTCTAAATAAAATACAACATAGGGCTGGGGTGCAGCTCAGAGGTCGAGTGCCCCTGAGTTCAATCTGGGATATCAAAGTAAAACGAAAAAAAGGAGTGCCTTCAAATTCAATATATGTGAGTGCTGAAATGAAGACTTCAATGCCCGGCTGTGGGAGGAGGTTGATAAGGCTCAGGAGGCAAAGCCCAAACAGGAGAGATGTCACAGGAGCTGGAAACCACACCAGGAGGCCCAGCAGCCGCTGATGTGAACCCAGGAAGAAGAAAAGCACAAACAACCAATTCAGGAGAAAGTCCTCGAGCTCTAAGACCAGAGCCCCAGCTGAGGAGCACACTTTTACGACAACGTCAGGGCACCAGGGCCAGTCAGCTTTCGAGAGCATCCAGAGAAGGACAATGAGCCCCATGCAGAGGATGAGCAGCAAGGCTGCATGTGAGGTCCCAAGGCAGCACCCAGGCGGCACTGTGACGGACATTCTGTCCCTGGCCCAACGATCAACCTACAGCAGGGGCACAGTTCTGAATCTGGCCTCCTGTGCCCCTTCCCAGCAAGCAGAAGATGCCACGCTCTGTCCAACAGGAGTCAAGGGCAAGCCAGGGATGCGGGACTTGCCCCACCGGCCCAGAGGTCAAGGCAACCCTGGGAGATGAAGGGAGATGAGGGCCACCTCCCCACCAGAGAAATGAGCCCTCCATCCTGGAGACCCTTCGGAGACGTCTACTCAGACGGCTGGTACAGTTTGGCGTTGAATTAGAGACAAACATGATGGAAAAGGGGAAAAGGAGATAACAAGACAAGCAGAGCAATTCCACCGCTATAGAAGCTCTGCCGGAACATGGGGTGGCCCTGGTCCACGGCACGGCTCGCCTGTGAATCCTGTGTTCACGCCATGGCGAAGGCCTGGCCCGAAGACTGCTCCAGTAACTCAGGGCACCACTGGGCGTGACAGGGCAGCAAGTGACCTCGAGTGCTGGGCCCAGACTGGAGAGCGATCCCCCCACCCCACCCCATGGGAAGCTGGCACAGGACGCTGGGAACCGGGGGTGTGGACGGGCTTGGAGGCACAGCAACAGGAGCGAGAGCGGAGCCTGCTTCCCCCGGCAGACTCACGGAAAACTCGGCTAAAAATGTGTTTTAAAAGCTCTGACCCCCAAATAAGGCCCTGCTCTCTGTGGCCCTCTTCCGGGCCCCATAGCTCTCAGGGGTGTCCAGAGCGACTGCGGGGCCGTACCTTGGACGAGGTGCTTCACCTTCCTGCTCAGCCTCAGGAGGCTGTCCACCTGTCTCTTCTCGCTCTTCAGAAACACGACTTCTCCCCTCCTCCACTCCAGGGTCTCCTTCATGTCACATTTTCCCTCTTGGAATGAAAAACTCTTTTTCTCTGGAATACAATGACAAAGTCACCAAAGGCAGAGACACTTCTCCGTGACACCCCCTTCTCCCTGGGAGTGCCCTGCAGTCACCACAGGAAGACAAGAACGCCTCCACCTGGTGGCATGGAAGAGGACACCCAGCACACGTGTGAACGCAGGCTTCACACCAGCCTGGCCCAGCTCACCTAACTGCCACAGGTCCAGAAACTGGGTTCTGTGCTTCAGGATCAGCTCCAACTGTCCGATCAATATAGACCCATCTAGGACGTCACCAGCCACCTTCATGAAGACAGAGTTGGCAGCAGCCATCAACCTCTTGGCGTCCTCTGTGAGGTTGTCTAACAGCTTCTCATCCGTCCCTGAACAGATGAGGAACATGGTGAGCCCACGGGCCCTCCGCCTGCTTCCTCTAGAACCTCACCCCCAGCGCCATGCCCACCTGACACTGGCTGCGTTCACGGTGTTTCCAGAAGTGCTGCCTGCCGCCTCACTCAGCTGTTCCCATACCTGTCTTACCCCAGTGCTCTCCTGCTAGACAGAGGAGACCCTCCCGATGGCCAATGTCAGCCAGGAGAACCACAGGGTTGAACGCCTGAGCCTTCACACTCTGCCTATCTTGGCTGCAGCTCAAAACTTGGAATGTGAGCTTTCAGATGACCTCAGAGGACGGCGTTTTAAAATGTGCCTAGTTTAACTGCCAGACTATTTATCTCACAGTAGTATGAGGCTCAGTTAGTATCGTGGACGACCGAGTTACCTTTACCATTAAAAGCAAAGATGGCGGGGGACTGGGGTGCAGAGTGGTGGTAGGGTGCTAGTCTAGGAGGCCCAATGCCCTGGTTTTGTCCCCAGCACCACACACATGTGCGTACATGCGCACGCACTCACAGTTTAATTCATAATTACAAAAACACGAAGGCAGCTGAGATGACTTCAGTGGGAAAATGGACCAACCCACGCACATCTAGACAAGGGTGCTTTGCTCAGCAATAACAGGAACAGAGCTGTCGGGCCTGAAACCTTAGACGTATCCTGCTGCGTGCGCAGAGTGCGGACATTCAAAACAGAAGTGCACTCCTCTCCAGCAAGCTGCCAGGCCAGTGCACACAGCAGCCACCTTCATGACCCCCGCGCTGCTCCTGCACTGCTCCTGCCCCTCCTGTGGCATTGGGTGTGGCTGATTTTGCTGAGACCATCATCTGCCCTGGGTTGTATTGCCATGCCCAGTGCTTTCCCACTACAAGATCTGAATCTAGCAATTTACACATAACCCTGCACGATTGTCCTCAGGGCAATGCAGAACGTCTGGAAGGTGACACGTGACGAGTCACACTCGTCATGGTTGATAGAGGAAGTCTCCAACACCCTGGGTAAGCAACTTGCCCCAGACACTTTCAGAGGGGCTGCTTCAAGGACAGTGTGTGCCCCCAGGAGCACATGTCCAGCAGGCACTCAGCAGACAGTGGCTCTGCCGTTAGATGCTCTTTATTACACAAGATGCCTAGCACCTGCCTGGGCACCCCCGCCCATCCTGCCTTTACCAAACCTCAGCACATGTAGGCTGAGGATCAGGTCATCAAACACCTTGCCCTATTCTGCTACCTGAGAAAGGACAGCAGACCCAACCATCCCTACACACACCATACAACTTGAAGAGCTGCTTCACATCTGGCCCCGTGAGCAGATGTTTAAGAATCTCATCCAGGTCGTCCACGGCCTCTCCATTGTTCCTGGGCCAGGACTTGGTGATCACGGCAGACACAAGGCTGCCAAATTTCTGCAAATCATGACAAGAGACTCCCTCCAGGACACTGGTCTGAGACTAGAAGAAAATGAATTAAAAAGAATTTAGAAGATTTCACTGATTTGTATTTTAATGACAAGTTAGTACCCATCAGCATTTCAAAAATCTACTGAAGCTAGTTTTTTAGTGCCTTAAAAAAAAAAAAAAAAGAACAAGAACAAGAAGAAGAAGAGAAGTTGGGAGTATCCCCCTGGTAAAGGGAGAGCTTAGCATGCTGGGAGGCCCTGGGTTCATCCCCAGTCCTGCAAAAGAAAGGAAAAGAAAACAAAAAAGTACCTAACATGTCCTAGAACTTTTCCATCCCCCTGTGGCCAGTCTCCTTACGTGAGGTACCAGAGATTTGAAGATGCACGCACATGAACACACCCCAACAACCCCAAGTCACACGCCTTCCCAGCTCACTGCCACCTTCTGCATTTTTCTTAGTCTTGCCTGTCATAAAAAATACTAAAAACAAGATGAGGAAGCCTCTACTACATTGTGTGTTTCATGTCCTAAGCTGTGATTCTCATGAAGACCGCTCTCAAACACCACAGATACGCCAGTTCTCCTGATGCTTCACCAAGAAACAAAACACTTTCCTTCTTTAGGTTTATAATTTTGCAAAAAAAAAAAAAAAAAAAGTTCAGTCATCAGTAAAAAAACACAGGGTAAATAAACAACAGACACTTTTTGACGTATAAAAGGACAAAAGAAAACTTTAACTAGCAATGCATAAAAAGTTACAGACCATGATGAAGTGAGATTTATCCCGGGAATAGAACCATGTTTTAACTCAAAAATCGGTCAATAAGCTGGGTGTGATGGCACACGTCTGGTGAGGCTGAGGCAGGAAGATTGCAATTTGGAGGTCAGATTCAGCTACTTACTGAGGCTCTATCTCAAAATGAAAAACAAAAAGAGTGGGCTGGGGTTGTGGCTCAGCGGTAGAGCGCTCACCTCGCACGTGCGAGACCCTGGGTTCGATCCTCAGTACCACCTACAAAAATAAACAAGTGAAATAAAAGTGTTGTGTCCAACTACAACTAAAAAATAAATATTTAAAAAAAAAATAAAAAAACCTTCCCAGGTGCAGTGGTGCACATCCATAATCCCAGCTATTCAGGAAGCTGAGGCAGCAAGAAGATTGCAAGTTTGAGGTCAGCCTGGGCAACTTGGCAAGACTGTGTCTCAAAATAAAAATTAAAAAGGGCCTCAGGATGTAGCTCAGTGGCAGAGCACCCCTGAGTTCAATCCCTACTACCACAAAAACAGAGGAAAAAATTTAAAACCTCTGTGCCCTAACACAACCACCAAGAGTGAAAACAACCCAGAGACTGGAAGAAAATACAGGATCACTTATCTGACAGGAGATTTGCACACGATAATCCAAAGAACTCTCACAAGCCACAATAAAAGAAAGACATACAGCCCAATGAACAAATGGGCCAAAGATCTAAACAGACATTTCTCCAAAGACACAAAAAATAGAAATAGCCAAGAATCATATGAAAAGGTGCCCAAGGCATAGCCATCAGAGCCACCCGAGAAGCCACTCCACACCCCAGACTGCATCACAGGGCAGAGAGCACAGGCTGTGGAGTGTGGAGAAGTCAGGACTCTCCTCGGCTGGCAGCTGACATGGAAATGGCCCAGCCGCTGTGGAAATGCGCCCGACAGTCCTTCAGATCACACAGGTTCCAGCCACTCCACCCGCAGGCGTAGAAAGCGTCAATAACATGGCCACACGAACCCGTGCACGGAGATTCACAGCAGATCTACCACAGCCACCTCAGGGGGAGCCCAGATATCCATCAGGGGACAAAGCCAAGCACACTGTGTCCATATGAAGAGCAACAAGTAGCCATGAGAAGGGACAAAGCATGACAGGAGCTCCAGCGTGGACAACCTGAACAACGCTCAAAGAAGCGGGCACCCAAGGCCACATTTCATTCCAGAGACACCCGAGTAGTCTCTGGAGGAGGAAGGAAGACTAGGTGTTGCTGAGGAGGGCCCTGGGGCTGGCGTGGTGAGGGTGGACGTGACAGCTGAAGGGCTGCGCTTTCTTTCTGAGCTGCTGAGAATGTCGCCAAGTTGACAGCGGTGGTGGCACCCACACCTGAGAACACACCCCACGGCCCAGGTGCAGCTCCCGAGGGCGAGTGACAGGGCATGTGAATACGACCTCACTGAAGCCCTGAGCCAAGAGCAAGCAACAGAGTTGGGCTGTGCTCAGTGGTGGAGCACTTGCCTGGCAAGCAGGAGGACTGGCTCCCATCCTCAGCACCACAAAAATGATATAAAATAAAATAAAGGTATTTTGTCCATCTACAACTAAAAATATATTTAAAAAACTAGGAGCAAGCAAAAGTCTTAGAAACGACAAGAGCCCAGAAAAAGGAACCTCTACTTCTTGGGACCCTGCTGGCCAGCAATGAAGCTCAGGCCTGTGCAGGGTGGGAAGTGTCCATCCAGTAGGAGACAGAGCAGGGCGTTGGGGCCAGCAGGCAGCCTGGTATTGTGCAGGGACAACTCCTGCCAGGCTCTGGGGAGAACCTCCTCCCACTTTGCAGAAAAAAGCCAAGTGTACCAATAGACTGTTTCCCCTCTTTTTTGCAGTGCTGTGGATAGAACCCAGGGCCTCGCACATGCTGGGCAAGCGCCCCGTCCCAACAAGGATGGAGTCTATTGGACTATTCCTTCCACAGATGTGCTGTTGACCTTTGGGGTCTTTTGCTGCGTATCTGCTGGGCAAGAGTTAACAGGCCATAAACAAACCAGTGGCAACGATCCAATGGGCAGTCAGAGGTGCAACCTGCCAGGTCACCTGCACCGAGGCTTGGGAGCGCCACTGTGGTTTCACCAAGTACGGGGCCCGTCTCTGCAGCAGGAAGCCAAGCTACATCTCAAGGAGTGGGCACCACACACTGCACAGCAGCATGGGGCCCAAGCCAGGGAGGGGCTGCCCAGGACCCAATCCTTGGAACCGGCAGGCACTTAGGGCTGGCGCTGACCATGTTGGCAAGCAGCCGTGAACCCAAGCATGTTTCTCAGGAAGAGATCGGTCACCTGGCAGGCAGAGCTCACAGCTTCAATGACACACTTCTCAAACCTCTTGGCCACACTGTCCTGCAGGCCAGCTGCATCCCAAAGAGTGCTGCAGAAGACAGAGATCTGGAAGACAGGCCGCTCCTGGAACACACAGGTGGGTGGGGCGTGAGTGCCTGGTGGCTCTGACTCCCCTCCTGCATGCCCCACCCTACGCATGTCCTCCCTGGCCATCACCAGAGGAGCAAAGATGAAACCGAGTTGGTCTCTTTTCCCATACTGGAAAAAAAAAGCAGCCAGAATAGCTGCTTGCAAAAACATGGAAATTTTGAAAAATAAGCCATTTTTCCTTGCTTTTGTCTTCCTAAAAAGATCCATTTGATCAGGCCCGTATAGAACACTCGTATCATGTAGAAACCAGTTCTCATGGGTCACAGGCCTTCATTCAACATGAAGGGTAGTTTTTTGAGTTCTCCATGTCACAGTATTTAAGAAGGCTCCTGCCCACCACCAGGTCCCTTGGAGCCTGCACATGGAGGGCTTGATGACATGAATGTCTAGAGCCCCTAGGACAGCACAATTCTATTCCCTGGCTCTTCTCAGGAATGTCACACTAGAACTCTAAAGTGTTTTGGGGACAAATTGCAAAGGCCTGATCAGGAAAAAAAAAAGGAAAGCTGGGGGGATCTCAGGGCCTGCACATGCTGTAGCACCCAGTGCTGCCAGCAGTTTGGGCTCATCACCACCCTGAGGGTGTCCCCGAGGTCTGGTACCTGCTTGAGCCTCCCTTCCATGTCGCCCAGCAGCGATTCCTTCCAGCCACACTCTGCAGGAAAGTTTATTCCCACCAGCCGCCGCCAGACCTGTAAAAACCCACATGTTAAGTGACAACCACAGGGACAGGTAAAGACCACAGGGACATCCTACAGAAAACACCCAACAGCCAGGCGTGGGGGCACCTCTGGTCCCAGCTGCTCCAGAGGGCAAAGCAGGAGGATTGCGAGTTCAAAGCCAGCCTCAAAAACTTAGCAAGTCCCTGAGGAACTCAGTGAGACCCTGTCTCCAAATAAAAAATAAAAAAATAAAGGGCAGGGATGTGGCTCAGTGGTTGAATGCTCCTGGGTCCAATCCCCACTAAAAGCACTTTGCTAAACCCATTGAAGGCACCAAGCTAACAGGTCCCCACACCCAGGTAGGCATCCCGTCCCCACACCATGTCTGCTCGAGAGGCAGCATTAGGAGGACAGGAGCCTGGAGCAGCTGCCCCCTCCCACGTGCCTCCATATGTCCACCTAATGTCTGGATCCAGGGTCCACCTCGGGACACACAGCGCATTTACTGATCACGTCTCTTTTCTGGAGAAGTTCGCTGCCTTATCTTTCCTTGACAATTTTGAACAGTTCAGGGCATTCTGCAAACTGTCTCTTGATCCCACGATCATGACAGGTTTGGTCAGGGCACTATGAAGTCAAACCACGTAGAAAGTGCACTCGGTGTAGGTCAGGTGTGGCAGACGACTGCACTTGCCACAGCTGCCCAGCCAAACACCTTGGGCCCGACTGAGAGGCCCACGAGACCTGCTAGTGCCATCAGGGCTGACAGAGAGGCCGGCCTCGGTTCAGGCTTGTCCGCCAGCTCTCCTCACTCACTGCCATTAGGGCTTCTGCGCTGAGCCCCGGGAATCCTGTGCCTCACTGACCTCAGGATTGTTGAGTGATCCCTGCCTGCATCAGCTACTGTGCCTTGGTCACAGAGTGACAGTGTTGTATTGCAATTATTTCATCTACATTTCTTAGCTACCATCTTTAACAGGAAAATTTTAAATTTTTTTCTTCTCTGTTTACCAATTAATTTTAATCCATTCCTATCATTTGGCCTTTTAATAATCAAATGTACCAGATTGGCTAATGTGAGTATCTTCAACATGTTTCTTAAAACATGGAATAGCTTTAGACTTACAAAAATGCCAGAGGTAGCCCAGATAATTTCTATGGACTCAGCTTTATATTCATTTTTTAGTTGTAGATGGGCACAATAGCTCTATTTCATCTTTATGTGGTGCTGCGAGCACTCTACCACCGAGCCACAGCCCCAGCCCAAATTTCTATGCACTCCTGACCCCAATTCTGCCATCGTGACCATGACCACCCCTGAGCTGTCAAAAGTGAAAAGCTCGCAATAGTAGACCACCAGTAGACCATCGTCGACAACCCCTGACTCCACCGGGTCCTCGGGCCGTCCCAGTAGGAGTCTGCACCGCCACGAGCGTCCACCCCTCTCCCTCAGCGCTCCCCGACGCTCCAGCACCACGAGGTCCTGGCCCCTGTGCACTCCATTGTCCCGTGGAGGCGGCTCCCCTCCAGGAGCAGCGGTGTAAGACAAGAATGAAAGTTAGAAGGCACAATTGGGCCATGTGTGGTGGCCATCCGGGGCAGGAGGGTCACAAGTTCCAGGCCATCCTGGGCAACCTAGCAAGACCCTGCCTCAAAATAAAAAATAAAAATGGCTGGGGAGGTAGCTCAGTTGTACGGTGCCCCTGGAATCAGTCCCTAATGCTGCCCCCCCCCCCCCAAAAAAAAAGCCATGAAGTGAGGTAGGTGAGCTCAGGTCCCAGGGTGCCACTGCCACAGTGCTCTGGGGGGACAGAGCTGACAACTGTATGAATCGTGAGTTTCACTGCTGTCTCCAGCTCCTTCCATACACAGAGCTCTTGCCTCCCTTCTCCTAGTGAGAAAGAGCCCCACCTTCCAACAACATGTTCGTCTCCCCAGACCCACTAACTTTACTTGTAAAACAGCAATAACAGCAGCAACTACCTCAGCACAGCTGCTTAATTAATTTCCATTTTTTCTTTATCATTACGACTGCACTTAGAATCTTTCTTTCTTGTCTGTGGCTCCACGGCTATCCTTCACTATAACTGAACGCCTGGGGATTATACCGCTTAGAATCCTGGAATAACATTTAATAATCCAATTGTGTTTTCCTGGGATTTCAGTGTGTTGATATAAAACTTCACAAAGCAGTTGGGGGAGGATTACTTTTGTCTTTGACTGAAACCTACGACCCTCTGGCCCTGGAGACACCCTGGTCCAGTTGGTTGGGGTACCCCTGCCTCATATCACAATGAGTCCGGCCCCTACTCTATGAGAAGACCACAAGCAGGGCCACAGTCTCCCTGGAAGACCGTGGCTCAAGGGGACAACTCTCCACTTCTAAGACAGGAGAGCAGACCTTTACTTGTGGTGAGGACCTCCTACCTCCAACTCCCCTGCTGCAGCTCTCGAGGGACCCAGGCTCCTGGGTCTCAGGCGCTATATTGTGGAATCGTGCCACGTCCAAGGCTTTGGGGGCAGAGTCCATCCTGTCAAATGGCTTTGCTCAGCTGCTGGCTAGCATCTTTACCCTATTGTCACCTTTACCTTCCATTTCCAGTGACACACAGCTGGCTTACAGCCTCAGACCTGAAGCAGAGCCCGATGGTCCTCCTGGCAACCCCTGCCTCAGTGTGACCATACCCCATCACACTGTATCACACTGTACCTGGCGGCCACCAACTCCCCGCCAGGGAAGGGCCAATGTCCCTTCCTGGAGAAGGGGCCAAGGCTCAAAGCAAAGCTCAGGATGAGGCTGGGCCTCCAGGCTGTGGGCCTGCTGGTCCAGCTTCGGGCATCCCCACCCTGGTACCTGAAGAGGCTCCACAGACTCAGGCAAAGCGTACCTTGATCTCCTCGGGATACGAGAACTGGACAGTTGAGCGTTTCTGGAACATGCTCTTCACAAACACCCTGCGTAGCCAGGATCTAGTGGTGGCCAGGACACCCTGCAGGACACTTGTCACTGAGCCCTTCCAGGCTGCAGCTCCTGGGTCCTCTGCCATGTCCTGTGGGCACATGAGAGAAAGTCACCTACTCTGCGCTGCTGTTCCCAGCACCCGAGCCACCGCACAGCTCTGTCCTTGATGGAAACCTCCCTGACACAAGCACTGTGCTTCCCTCAGAACCCTGGGCTCCCTTGAAAGGGGCGATGGGAAGCAGCCACTCTGCTGGCCTGGAGGCCAACCCAGTCCCCTTCCCATGGGCACATTGTGGGGACAGCCCCTATCTCTCTCCTCTAAACTTCCACCACCACACCCACAGAGCCACCTCCAATTGGGGACTCAAAGCCTCTAGTGACCCGACCCTCTTTCTTTGCACTCCAGAGGTATCTGCTGAGGAGCACACGCCTCAGACCTCATTTTAGAGAGGCCTCCCCTGAGGCCCTTAGGACTACACGGTATGTGCTTCCATGGAACCCACAACACCTGGTTCTGCCACCTCCTGCCCCTTGAGGCTCACAGAACCACCCTGGGTCCTCCGCCTCAGCAGAGCATCAAGGTGGCCAAAAAGACGCCATCCTGCCATAGGGAACCAACTAGAGTGGAAGAGACGGCCCTTTCAGACAGCACGAAGAGCGTGGTCCGCAGACACAGTGAGTGCCCAGGTACAAAAGCACAAGGAGCCGGGGAGGCAAGCCAACAGCAGCAGAGGGGACGTGGGCTCCGGGCAGGGTAAGCAGAGCACAGGGCACAGGCGAGGGCAGGCCAGGACATCACTGGGGGTCTCAGGGAAAGCGAAACAGGGGCCCTTGCATGATGTCCCTGAACGGCACAGAACCTTCCAGAGCAATCTGGATGCCTCAGCGGGCATGCATGTCCCTTGTGCCCAGGCATTCTACCAACACCCAAAAGTGGCCCAGCCAAACACTGGCCCATCCTGGTGTCATCCAGGGCTGCACAGAAGTGGTCAGTAAAGGAATGGCTGGGAGAATCCCGAGGCTGAACAACCCCAGTGCCCTGACCTGTGCTCCAGGCCCCACAGGCAGCCGCCCAGCTGGGCTCCCAACGAGAGGCTCCCAACACTCGCCCCAGCGTGTTTTCGTTCTGGTCAATTTTGTCACTGCATAGCATTTTTATTTTTGCAGCAAAGATGGAGTATCTGTGACCACAGATCTGGGACACTGAACGACCATGACAAGTAAATCCAGGCTGGGGCTGGGGCTCAGCGGCAGAGCGCTTGCCTAGCACGTGTGAGGCCCTGGGTTTAATCCCCAGCACCACATAAAAATAAATAAAGCTACTGTGTGCTCATCTACAACTAAATAACTATTTTTAAAAAGGCTTGGGATGGGGGCTGGGGATGTGGCTCAAGCGGTAGTGCGCTCGCCTGGCATGCGTGCGGCCCGGATTCGATCCTCAGCACCACATACAAAGATGTTATGTTCGCCGAAAAAATAAATATTAAAAATTCTCTCTTTCTCTCTCTCTCTCAAAAAAAAAAAAAAAAGGCTAGGGATGTGGCTCAGTGGTTAGGCAACCTTGGGTTCAACCCCAGGACCAAAAAAAAAAATCATTCTTAGAGTGTGTCTGTGGTATCGTAAAGAAGTAAGGCTGTAAGGAATAAGGTGAAGACAGACTTGACCACCTCCATCGTAACCTCACAGTCCTGATGCGCAAGGCCAAGAGCAGAGTCGTCCACAGACACAGCCCAGCCAGAGGCTCAGGACCCGCCGTGGAGAAGCTGCACAGCACCGCGCAGCTCCCCACGCGGCCGCAGAAACACTGCCCCAGCAAGACTCGGGTGAGTGGAGAGAGGGTGAAGGCCGTGGCAGCGGGTCTCCAGAGGCAGGAAGCAGAGTCAGCGTCCCTCTGGGGCATGAGGGCAAGGATGACTGCAGGCCGAGGGGTGCCAGGGCCTGAGCTGGGCAGCTGGGCAGCAGGGCCCAGGCCCCACAGCTGTGCTGTGCCGCAGGGAGGATGGAAGACCTTGGGCGGGGGAAATAGGCCCTAGGTTTCTGTGAACAACAGAATCAAAGGGAAAAAAGGGGTCATCTTCTTGCTGAGGCCAGGTGCGAGGTGTGTAGTCTGCACACGGCTGAACCCATCCGGTGGGTGCCTGAGAGCTGACTCGACCACTCTCTCTGCTACAGGCATCCCAGGACCCCACAAGTTCCCTTCCAAATCAGGCTGCGTGGAGTCAGATTCCACGGATGGGCATGGCGTTTGGTACCTAAATGCCACTTACCACAGCAGGACCAAGTCCAAGGACTCTGCCAATGACACAGGCAGACAAGGCGGGGATCTCGAAATACTTCGGGGTTTTGGTGATCTTGCAGACAGCTTCATGAAGCTTCAGGCACACGGTCAAATAGGACTCCAATGATGTCTTCTCCAGAATCCTACCCACCAGGTATCCAGAGAGATTAGTGAAGTCGTTAGGAAATGAGGAAACAATACCCATGAGTTACCAGTCCCTTCCCTTTTAAAGACCTACAAGCCAGGACTCTCAGCTTCTCAGGAGGCTGAGGTAGGAGGCTGACCAAGTTCAAGGCCAGCCTAACAACTTAGCAAGACCCTATCTCAAAATCAGTAGAAGGTCTGGGGATGCACTTCAGGTTCAATCTCTACTACTATCAATAAATTACTTAAGATAAATTACCTACAAGTAAAGCATTTATTTGATCTCCTCTAGGTAACATTAAAATGGGTCTAAAAGCGGTGAATAAAAAGGGAACATAGAGTAGGCGTCATGGCACACGCCTGTAATCCCAGCTACTTGGGAGACTGATGCAGGAGGATCACAAGTTCCAAGCCAGCCTCAGCAACTTAGTGAGGGCCTAAGCAACTCAGTGAGACCCTGTCTCTAAATAAAATGCAAAAAAGACTGGGGATGTGGCTTAGTGGTTAAGCACCCCTGGACTTAATCCCTGGTACAGGGAGCACCAGGAAGACATTCCTTTTGTTTTAGTTCAGCAGTTGGAACTATTCTTATTAAAAGCAAGTTAAAATACTTGCAAGCATATTCCCTTATTTAAAAAAATAGCAAGGAATGAATATTTCTAATCATGAAAATAAGATTACACTTGGAAAAAAATTCAGAACATTACAGGAGGGAGGGGGATGCTAAGGGAAGAATGTACACTGCTCACCGAATGTTTTCCACCTGGTGAGACCCACATTTTGTATTGATGACTAACAGCAGGGTGATATGAGAAAGGTCACTTCGAAGTCACAGGGGCTTGCCATGCAGGGAGACCCTGAGCATCACCCCAAGTCCCGACACCCTGGGGCCCGGGACTCAGAGAGGTTCCGGGACTGCGGGCCCTGGTGCACATTCCTGGCTACATTCAGGTGTTCTTCCTTCAGGGACAGAGGTCATGCACAGTACAGGAGTAATTGTTCTGCAAGGCCACTTTTGATTTTTGTTTTAAACTGGCCTGACTTGCAAAAAATGTAAGAACTAAATGTTAAAGAAATGCAGAGCACCTACATTCACACTGACGACAATTGTTTACAAATAAGTGATTATGACCCTATGTGTACATATGAGTACAAACTGGTGTGATTCCACAGCACGCACAACCGAGAATGAGGAGTTCTACTGCAATGTGTCAGAGTGACATGTCAGAGTGCATTCCACTGTCACGCGTAACTAATTAGGACAAATAAAAATAAATAAAAACCCAAAGGCAAAAAGGTTGGGTGGGCAAAGCAAAATCTCAGCACCTGCGAGTTGTTATTTCATTTTTTTTTTAATACTGGGGACTGAACCCAGACCTTGCACATGCTAGGCAAGTGCTCAACCCCTGAGCTGCATCTGCAGCCCCATTTATTTCCTTTAAGGAGAGAGAGAAAAAAAAACAAAAAACAGAAAACCCCTGGATGGCTGGGTTGGCAATTGAAGAGGACATCAGGGCATTTGCTGGTGTCCAACCCACCCACTTTGACAGCACGCCTGGGACACTGAGGACTGCAGGTGGCTCGCACCCCATAGGAGCCCGCGCAGAAGAGGCTGCAAGGCCTTTCTACTTACATGTCCTGGTAGATGTCGACGAGGTGGATCAACATATTGAAAACACGCTCAACAACCTAGGGCCGGGCAGAGAAAGGGCCTTATGAACAGTCCAATCAGGATACAGCTGTCTGTGCCAAGAAGGGCACAGGACTGACGCATCCCGTTCTCCCTGTGCACAGCCTTCAAGGGCTCAAGGACCCATCTTCACCTTCCACCAATGAAACCCAGGCCGTGAATCTTTTTTTTTTTTTTTTGTCTTTTCTTTTTTTGGAACAGGGGATTGAACCCAGGGCTTTGCATACACGAGGCCAGTACTTTGCCACTAACCTACATTCCAGCCCTCATACCATTTTCTTTACCCCCAAAAAGCTAAGGAAAGACAGCAGCTACGGAATGTGTGACATTCACAGTGCCTTCTAACAGTCGTAAATAACAAAAGGCTACTGTTCTCTTGCACTCTTTTTACTAAACCAGAATCGAGTCTGGGAAGTCAGACTTGAACCCTCAGAGGTAATGACCTCTTATTTCAGCAATTCTGTTATTAGTTCTCAGCATTTTCCCCAGCCCGTTCTTCAGGACAGAAGACCAGAGCCCTCAATGCTCAGCTTGTAGTCTGTTTTGGCTAATCAAGGACCTGACACCCTGCTCCCAACCACAAACCTCTACGTTTTGGTAAGAGATCTCCTGAAGCCCTTGCAGCCTGTAGTGAGTCCCTAGGAAACAGTCCAGGACCCGAGTGGGCACGAGACTCAAGTATTCCGTGGAGTTTTCCATATAGGGAACCAGGCTTCCCAGAGGCAGCAAACTGAACCAGGATCGGAAGAGGTACTCATCCACACACAGCAACTGCTTCCTGCTCTCCATGAAGCTAAGAAACTGGTTCCTGAGTGAAGAAACCGGGACAGAGACCAGGGCATCAGAGAGAGCACTGAACAGACTCAAGGCAAGGAAAAACAAGGCTGGGGAGGTCCAGAAAACTCAGATTTTTAAGAGGATATGAAAGCATCATGGAAACAGACATGGAGTGAATCAACGAAAACTAAACAACCACCAGGCACGGCGGCACACCTGTGATCCTAGCAACTCAGGAGGCCGAGGCAGGAGGATCACAAGTTCAAGGCCAGCCTCAGCAACTAAGTCAGGCCCTGTCTCAAAATGAAAAATTAAAAAGGGCTGGGGATGTGACTTAGTGGTTAAATGCTCCTGGTGTCAATCCCTAGCACCAAAAAAAAAAAAAAGAATCAACAACAACAAAAAATTTGAATTTAGCTTTCATTTCAAAAGGTTCCAAAAACAGACCAGAGGCGAAAACAATGGAACTCATTGCCCTCATCCCTAAGGATGGCAGGTTACCTCCCAGTGGACAGTACAACAGGGGGACAAGAGGACAGGGCACTCAACAGCCAATTGAAGCACCTACCTGTGTGTGGAAATGAGCGTGGTGCTGTCTTCACGTTTAATGATTCAGATTTAAGTTTACTACTTTTTAAAATATTTTTTAGTTGCTGATGGATCTTTATTTTATTTATTTGTATGTGGTGCTAAAAACCGAACCCAGTGCCTCCCGAATGCTAGGCAAGCACGCTACCACTGAGCCACAACCCCAGCTCCTTTTTTGTGGGCTGGGGCTGGGGCTCAGTGCCAGAGCACTCGCCTAGCATGTGTAGGCACTGGGTTTGATCCTCAGTACCTCATAAAAATAAATAAAATAAAGGCATTCTGACCACCTACAACTACAAAAAAAAAAAAAATGTCAGGGCAGCCACCCAGGGCCTCCCCCATGCTGGGGGGCCTCTGCCACCGGGTGAGCCCAGCCCTACCACTTTCTTTGTAGGTTGTGCTTTCCAGGCCTTCTCTGAGAACCTCTCCCCACTCCCAGGCCAGGCTCCTTAGAAGCAAGCCGTCAACATCGGGCAGCTGCGCTTAGGACCCTCGCGCTTCCACTGCAGCCCCTTCAGGGCCCTGAGAGGAGTCCAGCTCAGAAGGCAGCCCCTCTTGCTGCACCGTGCCCGCTGCATGCCCGAGAAGGACGTGTGTCCTGCCATGCTGGGCACTGAGGCCCCTGGGCGCCACCTGGGTCTGGCTGGTCCCCAGCTCTCTCTCCAATGTCTGATCACTTTAAGATCACTTTAAGGTCTTCTTTAAACTACTTTCAAAGTAGATGGGAAGGCAAAGGGCAGTCGTTAACTTGTAGAAAGCAAACAGAAGGAAGCGGGTGGCTGGAAACCACGTCAAGAGAAAAGGCTTATTGGGACTAACTCCTGACAGGCTCACTGAGGCTGATGTGAAGCCAGGAATTACGGCCGAGGTGTCTCCATCTGCCTGGGAAGGAAGATTCCTTTAGTAGCGTAACTTCTGACCAGCTGCTGACCCCAGTGCTCACGTTAACACGGGATTGACTTGTACATTGAAGCTCCTTAAATAGGACGGGTCCCCTTGACAGTTCCGGAGGGGGCCCAACTAAGGTCAAAACTCCATCCCCAACATGAAGAGCTGAACACTGACAGCAGAGCGTGCAGAGGGGGTCCCAGCTCTCCTGGCATAAGGAATAAGCTTGGAGACAGCGTTCTCTGCTCAGAGACGCCCTCTCTCTCTCTCAAGAGTGCTCTCTGGGGCGGGGGACACAGCTGAGTTGGAAGAGAATTTGCCTGACATACACAAGGGCCTGGTGCAATTCCCAGCACCAAAAAAAAGAAAGAAAAAAGATGCTGTCCGACTGAGCCTGCCTTGCTTTCACTTCACTTTCACGTGCATGACTTTGGTGTCTGACTTTAAACTTTCTTTCATGGAAATCCCGGCGCTGAGGTCTGGAGTTTTAGCTCTGGCTCTCCTGTGACACCCACGGTTTCCACCTATCTGCCCATGCCAAGGTCCGGCCTTGACCTTTCCACAAGTTGTTCTCAACACACTCCCTGACCCCCCGCCTGGACGTCTTTGGGCTTCACCCCCATTTCCTCGCTGGCCCTGGAGAGGCCTCGTCTCAGGTTAGGGGTTATGAGGGAGGGGCCAGGGATTTGCTGTAGGTTCAGGGAGCCTCAGTACATGGAAACGACCCATCCCCTGGGCCATGGTACCCCTGTCAAAAGCCAGAGCCTGAGCACCCATGGCCACTGGCTCCTCTCTCCTGCTTCAGCGAGCTCCTTGTGTCCAGGTCTCAGGAACAGTGACTCTTCCTGTTCTTAGTCCCTTTCCACCCTGGATGGCCACTGTCTGGCCCACACTGCAGGAGCCAGTGAGCCCACGGTCATTGCCTCTGTACTCTTGCCCACCCAAGGCACTACACTACAGGAGGTCTGAGCCTCCCACCCACAGGGCAGCGCTGTGCCCTCACAATCAGTGCAGAGAGTGGGGGAGTCCTCTGCTTCTCCCGGCCAGTTCTCTGGCCTGAGACTTATGGCCAGCAAAAGGAGGTGCCTGCTCTAAGCCCTGCCCAAAAGGTGCTTACCACCCCCACCCCAGCTAAGGCAAGGTCTGAGGCCAGGAACTGAGGTTTGCAGTGCTCAGGGCTGTATCCTGGGACCCTGAGCACACAGAGGTGCTTTCTAAGTGTCTGTCACACAAATAAGTGGACACATATTAGTACAGGCATAAGACTGTCCAGCACAGTGGCCACGCATGAGATCCCAGTCACTCCAGAGACAGGAGGATCACCAGTTCAGGCCGTCTCAAGAACTAGACTGGGTCGCAGCTCGGGGCAGAGTGCGAGAGTCGGTGCTCCAGGGCACCCTAACACAATGCAGCTTCTCAACTTACTCATTTAGCATTTCTTTCTGAAACTGTGAGAAGGAGATTCCCTCGAGGGCAGCCCATGTGTCCTCGGGCTGACTCACAAAGTCCTTCCTGGGGGGTGCCAGCTGCATACAGTAGTGCAGGACGGGGAGGATGCCCAGCCAGTCGATGACCTTGGCGTCCATGCACCTTTGGCACAGGTTGACCAAGTACTCTCGCCATCTAGGAGGGAACCAGACCCACTGTGAGCTATGGAGGGCTGTGTCCAACCCACCCTGGGGTCCTCTGTCCCAGGAGGGAAGGGACGGCCACATGCACTTAGCACAAGGAATCTGCTGCAGGCCTGGATGGAGTCCTCGGACCAAGAGACATAGGGTAGCCAAGGGACAAGTTCCCCTGCCCCTAGAGCACCAGCCCCACAACCCCGCCCCCTCCCCCCAGCATCATTCCCACCCACAGCATACAACTAAGGAGTTGAAGTGCTCGGGTTACAGCCAGGCATTCACACAGGGCCTGTTAAACCAGCCAGTCTGGCAATGGTGGCCCTAAACACAAAGCAAACTTTTTTTTTTTTAAACTGGAGATTGAACCCAGGGACCCTCCATCACTAAGCTACATCCCCAGCCTTTCTTTATTTTAAGATAGGCCTCCCTAAGTTGCTGAGGCTGGCCTCGAAATTGCAATCCTCCTGCCTCAGCCCCGAGTTGCTGGGACTACAGGCATGAGCCACTATGCTCAGCTACAAAGTCACTTTTTAAAAGGAATGTCACATGGAGTGTCCCCCACAGGCATAGAAACTGAAGCTTCTCCCTCCTCTCACACCCCTGCACAGCTGTTTGTACATTCCTTACCACAACCCTCTTTCACTGAGGGCACAGCAACTGCCTGGGTGTTTAAAACCTAGGAAACCCACAGCTGCTCAGGAAAGGCCAGCTGATGTCACCCACGCTCCAACCAAACAGAAGCAGAAGAGACCCTGACCTCCGAGCACAGTGGCTCAGAAGAGGTCACCCCTCCCACATGAAAGGCTGTCTCTGACCCTTCCCCAGGACGCAGCAGGCACATGGTGCTTCCAGAGCTTCTGCACGGGCATGGCAGCGGGAGAGCATCCCTGGGGTCTGCAGCTGTCCCAGGCGACACCAGCAGGCAGGCCTGCGCCTGGCCCGGCGCGCTGTGTGTGCAGAGGGCCCCCAGGACAATGTTGCACTTTGATTCACTCATTTGTTTGTTCCAGATGGGGTTCCACTAAGTTGCCCAGGTTGCCCTAAGCTCTTGGGCTCCAGCGATCCTCCTGACTCAGCCTCCCAGGAGCCGGGATGACAGTGCCACCAGGGTGGCAGGCGTTCAGGAGAACCCAGAATTCAACACCACCAGCCATGGCACACAAGCCAGGAAGTGACAGGAGCAAGTGGTGACATGACTGTGTTTTTATTTTTCCCCAGAGTGTGCTCATCCCTTCTCTGACAAGCCCTAACTCTGTAATCAGATAAAAATCATGACAAACTTCAGACAAAACACCCTGGGATACCTCTCAGATGCGCCTAGGATGTGGCTGAGGTCGCTGTGCAGGGCGTCTGGGGAGCAGGTGCTGGGGCAGAGGATGGAGCACAGTGAGGTCAGGTCACCCTCCGATAAGTAGAGTTTGGCATCTTCCACCAGGAAAAGGACCACCAGGCCCATCCTCAGCCTGCTCCTCACAGGGCAGCTTTCAGGCAGGGCGTCCCCACTCTTCCCTTCCAGAAACGGTCCTATCTGCCTTTTCAAATACTTCCACAGGTGCTTCTTCACCTGACGCAGGGGGAAAGAGGCACAGGCCGTGGAGCGCCTGCCCTGGGGCCTGGAGAACCCCTGGGCAGTGCGCTAAGGCCCTGAGGCAGGCGACCTCTGGGGAGGGTTCCATCTGCCCTACGACCCCCCTCCCCAGCCCCCTGGGGTTCTGGGCAGCAGGCACACAGTGATGTTCAGTCCCCCACCCTGCAGGGAGGGAGAGGGGAGGCCCTGGGTGCTCCTGAGAGCGCAATGTCAAACTCAGGGAGCACCAGCTCTGTCTCCAAGCCTCGGTGCGGCTGAAGGGGCCATGGTGTGCTCCACCCCTTCTATTTTTTAATATTTAATTTTTCAGTTGTAGTTGGACACAATACCTTTATTTTTATGTGGTGCTGAGGGTCGAACCCAGGGCCTTCCACGTACTAGGTGAGCGCGCTACCGCTGAGCCACAACCCCAGCCCTCCACCCTTTCTTTCAACTCTGCCCAGGCCCGCGAAGAACTCAAGACCAGTCCCCGGAATGAGGCTCCGAGGTGCCATCAGGAGCAAGCACGTGGGGGGAGAATTCCCAAGAGGTGGTGCAGGAACAAAAGAGACGGAAAGGTCCTCCTGCCCCCCTGCACCTACCCCACTCAGTCACAGGGTCTCCTGGCCTCCAGTGGATCGGGGGACCCTGACCACCCACTCCAGAGCTGCTGGGGACCACGGGAAGCCTGATACCTCCGACTCTCCGAGGCCCAGGCTAAGCCAGGGCTGTGCTTTCCCCTCGTAAATCATGGGCACTCGGACAACAGAATAAAACTGCCGGAACTGCGTGAAGAAGTTCTTCAGGTTGATGGGGTTCCAGGTCTGCAGAATGCTGAAGATACGGCCCAGCATGATCTCGGCCGCCATCTGCTTGCCCTTCACCAGATCCTTCTTCGTCTTATCATTGAAGAAGTTCTGTAATTTCTGTAATTTCCCAGGAGGCTTCATGCAGATTATGTCATCATACTGATGCCAATCTATGAGTAACAGCAAGAAAAATGTCACACGGAAGACCTCAAAGCCCACCATTCCTGGGCACCAGTCCAGAGGACAGAAACACAGGGGAGCAGCCAGACACAGTGGCGCACGTCTGTAATGCCAGTGCACAGGAGGCTGAGGCAGGAGGATCACAGGTTGGAGGTGAGCCTCAGTAACTTAGGGAGGCTTCGTCTGAAAAACAGAAATACGGGGGACTGGGGTTGTGGCTCAGCAGTAGAACACTTGCCTTGCAGGTGCAAGGCCGTGGGTTCGATCCTCAGCACCACATAAAAATAAATTAATTAATTAAAATAAAGTTATTGTGTCCAACTACGACTACAAAAAATAAGTATTAAAAAAAAAAAGAAATACAGGAGTGCAGAGGATAAAAGAAAGGAAGGAAAATAAGAGGACTCTGGTAAACTGAGGCAATCGGATCAGAACTTGCTCCATCGGCTGCAACGGCAGGGCACACCCCTACAGATGAAACCCAAGACAGCCCACAGTGATGAGCTCAAAGCCAAGTCTCTGCTTAGCCATGCAGCTGAGTGAGCCTGGTAAAGCTTTGAACAGGAGCACGCGGAGGTTAAACATTTTATACCAAAACAGCGTCTCTCACTAACAACTGCGCCCTGTAAGTGACTCAGGGTGCAGGCACTATTTTCTCTGTGCCTCCTGGGAACAAGAACCACCACCCCAAAGAAGGTGCTGCAGATTCCCCAGCAGATACAAACAGAGTCACTAGCAGGTGCCCAGTGCAGGGCAAGGGCTGAATTCATGGCTCCCCTGAGGGCCAGCTGCAAGAGACACAATTACAGAACTAGAAAAACCAGAGATGTAAAATCATCAGAAAACCCAGTGGTTAGCCAGGCACGATGGTGCGTGCCTGCACTCCCAGCAATTCAGGAGACTGAACCAGGAGAGTCAGAGTTTGAGGGCAGCCTGCACAACTTAGCAAAACCTGACTCAAAAGTTAAAAATGAATACAAAGACACAGGGATGCAGCTCCGGGGTAGAGCACTTGCTTAGCATGCATGAGGCCCTGGGTTCCATCCCCAGCAGTGTCCAAAAAAAAGGAAAAGAACAAAAGGCCGAAAACTTATGGTCAGAGGCAGCTGGGCATGGTGGTACATGCCTGTAATCCCAGCGACTCTGGAGGCTAAAGTAGGAGGATTGCAAATTCGAGGCCAGCCTCAGCAACTTAGGAAGCCCTAAGCTACTTAGGGAGATTTTGTTTTTTCTCAAAAAAAGAAAGAAAAAAAATTTAAAAAGGGCTGGAAACATGGTTCAGTGGTAAAATGCCCCTGGGTTCAATCCCTGGTCCCAAAAAAAGCCCTGTGGGTAGAAAGACACAGCTGAGCAGGGCTCCTGAGGCCCGCAGCAGGCGCTGCACGCACTGCTATCCCATGGCTGGCTCTGCTACCCCAGTTCTGCCCTGTCCCTGCCAGGGGATAGTTGGCCAGGGTTCATATGGCCTCCTGGGGACTTCTGACCCCACTCGAGCCCCTCCCTTTGTGGCTCTTGTCAGAGCAGCAACTCCATCTTTACTCATGGAATTACCTGATGAGGTCCAGTCTCCCCTCAAAGCTGAAGTCCTGGGCGTACATTACTGTCATTAAAAATCACGTGTACAGCCAGGTGTCCTAGGGCACCTGTACTAGCGACAGGACAAGGTGGGAGGACCCGGCTGGGTGCCCAGGCAGGCCAGCATAGCCAGTATCTGCAGACGGTCCCAGAGGACCTGAGGTGCACACAGTTCTTCCAAGGATTCGGCAGGTTGAACATGGAAGCCAAAGTGCCACCAGCAAAATGTGACAAGGACAAACAGCATAGGCCCACAGGGAGGCTATGGACACCTTGTCTTGTTACTGGTCACCACCTGGCCACCCCAGGAAGGGCCAGCCAGCAGTTTCCTGTTCCAGCTTTGTCCCAGTACGCGGGCCCACTCTGCCCGCAGCGCCAACCCTTCCAGTTTCCTCTCTGGCAATAGTTAAGCCACAGCAGGGGCAACGCACAGCAGAGGACCACACAGACCTGGCCGTCGCTCCGCAGAGCAGTGCCCAGGCCAGGACGCAGGCGCCCTGGAGCCCTTACCTCCGGAGCGCACGAGGGAGGGCTTGATGCACAGGCAGCGGTTCACATGCTCGCCCGCCCTCTGCGGCTGCTTGTAGATGTACTCGTACTCCACCGCCTGGTTGGGGCCGCGGTGCAGGACGTACTTGTAAGGGATGGCTCTGTCCAGGCTCCCCCGGGGAATGACAATGCTGCCCTCGATGAGGGACCCGTTCTCCCGCAAGTCCCTGCGAATCAACAGACACCAGCACGTTATCCAGAAGGCTTAACTCGGAAGACTGCGTTCTCACACACACCGGGAACACAGACCCAAAGGTACAGCGGACACTGCCAAGACGCATGTCTAGAACAGAACAAGCGCCCGGCAAAACGACACAAAGAAATGCATGCTGGGAGTATCACACACACTCCCCAGGGAGCAGGGGCCCGGGACTCGCTGATCAGCTCTAACACACACTGGGGGGTACGTGGGGACCAGGGAATCAGTGATCACCCAGGGGAACCGGGCACTTGGGAACTCACTGATCACCTCTAGCACACTCCCAGGGGACAGGGGACGGGTACTCACTCGACGTAGAACATCTCGCAAGCGTCACTCCACCCGGGACGTCCGAGCTCCTCTCCTCCCCTGATGAACACGGTGTGCAGCTCGGGGTCAAAGGCGAAGTGCTTGGAGATGATGGCGTGGAAGTACACGGTGACCCCCTCCTCGGGGCTCAGCAAGCTGGAAGAGCCAAGGGAGCAATGTGGATGCCCACCTCCTCCTTTCTCTCCGGCTCTCCATCACACCTGGCCCCTGCCGACCATGAGCGGCGAAGCCGAGGAGCAGAGGGTCAGCAGGAGCAGCCAGCATCCTCTGCACTTGGCTGGGCCTGGTACCTTGGGGAAGTGGCCTGATACCTCAAGGGCATGGCTTGGTACCTGAAGGCCCGGCCTGGTACCTGGGGGCCTGGCATGGTACCTCAGGGGTGTGGACTGGTACCTTGGGGAGTGGCCTGGTTCCTGGGGGCGTGGCCTGGAACCTCGGGGCGTGGCCTAGAACCACAGGGGCAGGGCCTGGTACCTGGGGGGCTCGACCTGGTACCTCAGGGGTGTGGACTGGTACCTTGGGGAGTGGCCTGGTTCCTGGGGGCGTGGCCTGGAACCACAGGGGCAGGGCCTGGTACCTGGGGGGCACGGCCTGCGCACTGGCCTTCTGGTTCTTCTGCTCCTTCTCCTTTTTCACAGCAGCTGCGTAATTCCTGTCACTCCCTTCCGGTTTCCTATGGTCTGTGGGCTCTGAGCTGTTTTCGCCTGCCTTTTTTCCAGGAGCAGCCAACCTGTCCCTGGTCTCACCTTCCTAGAACAAGTAACCAAGCCCCAATCTGAAAGGGGGGACTTCCCGCCTGCCCCTCAGCCATGCATCTCACAGCAGCCCAGGTGGACCGTCCAGTCCTGCCAGCCCACTCCCATGGCCTCTGAGCACCCTTCCCCAATCCTGTCCCGGCCTCTCCTCCCTCTCTCACGCCTGGGACCCTAGTTCCTTCCGCTGATAACAGGCCACCACAAGCCACCCCAGGGTCTTGGCACGCCCATACTTTTGTCTGGACCTGTCCCCAGGGACCCCAGGGCTCGCCCCTCAATCCCTCTAGCCTCTGCTCCCCCAGCCCCACCCTGGAGGCCTCACCCAGCCACCCAGCTGACGGGCCACCTTCCCTTGAGGCACCAACCTGCACATTCCCGGGGACCCCCCACATTCAACTCTTTCCCAGCCTCGGTCTCCCCCTCCAGCATGGGAACCCCCTGCAGGCAGGCTTGGTCTCCTAGGCACTGTCCCTAGCACTCCACAAACATGTGCCCCACACCAGACGGAAGACGGGCTGGCAGCGGGCTGCAGCAGGGAGGGCCAGGAAGTCCAAGCAGTGTCCCCCAGGCCCAGCCCGTCAGGAAACCTGTATCTGGCGGTGTTCCTTGGCAGCAGGGGGACTGACCAAGATGGGCACCAGCCTTCAACTGCGTGTGGGGTCAGCAGTCCTTTCCCGCCCCCAGGGACCAAGTCCCAGCTGCCCCCCCAGACAAGGAAACACGTCTCACCCCCACGGCACACCACAGGGGCTAGGGCCAGCACCTGCCACGACACCATCCCTCACACTCACCCCAGAGGCTGGGACCCCCGCCTGCTGCCTGGCCCTCTGGGCATCCTTCTGAGGCTTAGAGTCCCCCTGGGACTCAGGCAGTGGGAGCCCTTGGGCAGCACCTTCAGCCTTGGGGTGGGCTTCACAGGCAGAGGTGGGTGGGACAAACACCTCCTGGGAGGGGTCACTATCCCCAGAGGACGCGGCGGTGTGGAGGTCCTTTCCTTCAGAGTGGTCCTGGAGCACCGGGCTGTTCTGAGCCTCCTCTGCACCCTTGCGCGGGGCAGTCTGTCCCTGCTGGGCTTGGCTTTGGTCCAGGGCTGTGTCCTGAGACCCAGGGTGTGAAGGCGAGTTGGGACTCTGGGGAATGGAGGCAGACAGGGCCAAGGAACTTGGCTCCGAGGAAGCAGAGGTATCCTGGTTCTTCTTCCTTTTCTTCCTTTTGCTCTAAACAGAAGAGAGATGTTAATCTTACCTCGTGGGTTCACTCCAGCCTGCCCATGTTTCCTCCCATCTCCCCCAGTTCTCAGGTCCAGCAAGCTCAGCTCTGCGAGCCACTGGAGCATCACCCTGCAACTTCTTATCTCGGGTAGAACTGAACGTAAAAACCAAGGGTGTGGGGCAAGGGGGCCAAGGTAAAGGAGGCCCGCGAGAGCCTCGCATGCAGTAGCTGGGGAGGTCTCTGAGATCACCCTTGGACACTATGATGTTCCAGGACTTTCCACATGACACTCTGCGCATGTGTCACAAGCAAGAAAACCAGAATCCAGGAGGAGAGGAGAGGCTGCTGCTGTGCCCTAGAAGGCTCTGGAAGCTCCCTGGCAAGGGAGACCAGTGAGATCCTAGAAAACAGGAAGCCAATCAGTGCACATTCTACAAAGATGGGGGTCACTGGAAGGAGAAATAAATGTTCCTAATGCTTCCAAGGGAAGCCATACATGGTTAGCCAGACCTTGACCTCTCCCAGCAGATAACACTGGAGAAGGTAAGAGGCTTCTCACAAGTTCCCAAGAGTGACCCCCGCCCCGAGGAATTTCAGCTGATTCCTAACAGTAGAGAGGGACAAGGTCAATTTTGACCAAGTTGGTCTTGAACACCTGGCAGGAGAATTACAAAGCACAGCTGCACATGGGCTGGCATTCATAGCTAAGGTGGCACAACTGGTGGCAAAGGCATCAGAGATCACCAGGAAGTTACAGCTATACAGACTGTATAAGGAAACCCACCTACACTGGATCAAGTGTTGCCAGTTGCTGTGTTAATAATCAGGGGTAGCCCTATTAGGCAGACAGGACCCTCCCCTTATGAGATCCTCTGTGGGCATGCTCCTCTCATTACAAGAAGTATATGAAAAGATCTAAAAATTAAACCAGGACATGCTAAATAAAATAGACTAGAATTAAGTTGGACTGTCTTCTTGTTATTGAGTCATGAGTTCTTTATATATTATGGACACTAAACCCTTGTCTACAAATGATTCACAAATACTTCTCCAGTCCACGAGCTGCCTTCAGTCCACCTTGTCTTCCTCGGAATGAGGAGTTTCCATTTTGATCAAGTCCAGTTTTTCTACTTTTTCCTTTTGTTTCTTGTGCTTTTGGCGCCACGTTTAAGGAAGTTGTGTTAAATATCTGGTGGCCAAATGCCAAGTCTATATTTCCTCATCCTGCGTTTTATTTCTGGAAAGTCAGCAGTAACGTCTCCACCTTCATTTTTGACTTTCCTTCCCACCTTTCCCTTTTTATAGGTACTTATTGACTTCTATGTGGTGCTAGGAATCGAACTCACACGCTAGGCCAGGGTTCTGCCCCGGCTACAGGCCCTGCCCTGCACCTTTCCTCACGGGTGCATCAGGGGTGCACACGGGGAGGGAGCCTGTTGTTACTTACACTGCCTACACGTCCCACTGCACCTGGGGCACAAGGTAGTATCCCTCCCCAGGACTCCCCTCCCTCCTCCTCCCCCATCTGCCCTCCTCTACTCCCTTGGATGTACCTGAGACCCACCCCCACCATCTTCCTCTCTAGCTTCCGCACAAGAGAAAACACAGGATCCTTGACCTTCTGAGTTCTTTAGGTATTATCTCCTTTTTTTCTTAGTCTAAAAGTTTATTGATTTTGTTGATCTTTTCAAAGAACCGACCTTTGATTCACTGACTTTCCTCTATTGCTTTTCTTTCTGTTCTGTTCGTCTCTACTCTAACCTTTAGTATTTCCTTCCTTCTTTACCTTTGGATTTAGTTTCCTCACCTGTTTCTAGTTATATAAGGTGTGAAGTTGGGATCAGACACAGGCTGATGTCCCCAGTCCTTTATGGGTTTGTTTTTTTAATTTGAGGCAGGGTGTTGTACGACCCTTGGGGTCTCCCTGTGCTGCTGAGGCTGGTCTCAAACTTGCAATCCTCCTGCCTTGGCCCCTTATCCTTTTTCTGTTGAGACAAGGTCTGGCTAAGTTGCTGAGGCTGGCCTTGAACTTTGGATCCTCCTGACTCAGCCTCCTGGTCACTGGGATCACATCCATGTGCCACCTGCCTAGCTGTGGTTCCTTGGCTACTCTTGCTCGTTTTTCTCTTCCAAAAAGATTCTTCAACTTACTCTACGAAGTTTTTTTTTTTAAACCTTGTCCTGCTGATCCCTGGAGGATTTTTAATCACCACGCTGAGTGTCTTTGTGGTGACTCTCACTTGAAGGTTCACCCAAGCCTTCAGTATCCCTCAAGGCTGGTTTGGGTAGCCTTCCCCACTGAGGAGGCAGTGACTCCAGGGGAAGGTCACAACCGTGCACCACACACACACACACACACACACACACCCCTCACTGCCTGCACACACAGGCCCTGCACCCCGACACACAAATACACACGCCCCACCTCACACACACAACACACATACACACCCCACGCACCCGCACGCATGGACCAGAGCGCTGCAGCATGTCCCTGCCACATGACCACAGAGCACCCCTGCAAGGAACCTCAAAAAGCAGCCCCAGCCCAGGCACAGGAAGCCACTATCCCAGGAGCAAGCCTGGGAGCAGGCCTCAAGCTCTGGGTGTCTGTGAACCGGAGCTGAGTTGGGGAGCCACCCCGCCGCTCCTGGACACTTGCAGGGAGCTCCCCAGAAGCCTCCCGGGGCTACAAGCGATAATCCCCCAGTGTCTAACACCTCCCAGAGGCTGATGGGGCCTCACCCCCAAGGAAGAGCACCTGCCGGCTGGGGAGGACCTACACGTAGGCCCTGCAGCACAGCAGAGGAGCCCCCGCCCCAATCCTCCGCACGCAGACCAGCAGCAGGACCCACGCCAGCCCAGCCACAGCTCCTGAGACCCGCATATGGGGTCTAGGGCTGGAGAAGGAAGGTGGGGCCCACGGCCTGGAGCCCATAGACTCCTGGGGGATGAACCAGGCGCCAGGGACAGCTGCGCAAGAAGGTTGCCCAGGAAAAGCCAGGGGCCGGGAGACATGGCGGCAGCAAGGGTGACCCAGCGCTGGCCCAGCTCAGCCATCAGGGAAACAGGGACAGGTGCGGGCAGCACAGATCACTCACTCTTTGGACAGTCCAGGTCCCGTCGTCACAACTGGGCTCAGCTGCATTTTCCTGGCGATCGCTGGAGCCTGGGGACAAGTGCAGGTCTCCATTTTCTTTCAGCACTTTTCCACACTCCATCTCTTCCTCCAGGGCCGGGGCCACCACGGAGCTGTCGTCCTCAGAATCTACAATGCAGAGGGATGACAGGTCAGATCCCCAACCTGACCTGCGGGACTCAGCCCCGTGTCAGCCCACAGGCAGGACTCGGCCCCGTGTCAGCCCACAGGCAGGACTCGGCCCC